ATTTTTTCTCTCATATTTGAAGGAAAATCATCAACGTTTATGAAATAATTTTCAAGAAACTGTGCTTGGAGATGGAGTTGTTCGATTTCTTTGTTTTTGAGAGCTATTCGTGTTGCAAAGCGAAATACAATTTATCTAATTACTAGTTTTAAGTTGAAATTCTTTAACACTACATTTTATTTCATCCTTGTGTCACTTGGTAAAATCCTGATAAACAAAATCCTAAAAGGTCAAAATCCCAACAAGTTAGTCCGCATTAGCTATAATTTCAGTCAATTTTTATTGTAAGTTATTTTTAAAATTTAAGTTATATTTTAAGTTATGTAAGTTACCATGTATATAAGGATGTAGATGATAAAAATTTCGTTCTTTAATAACCTTAATACCGGCTAAATTTATTCTGACTGGCATTAATACTAAGGCCGGCCTGCTTTACTATGTAACTTAAGTTACATTATCAGATAAGTTATTACAACCCTAATCAGGATTCTGTTTTCTGGATTTTGACCCAAAACCATATCGGTTACAATTTGCACATTTCCATTTCTTATCTCTTTAGATCCAAATTCATTAAATGCTAAAAAATATACTCCTAGATCCACTTTAATGGTATGATTCTTGAATGGATCAAATCCTTGTCTGAACGAATTTGATCAGTTGGATTGAACGGATAACAGATTATTGATTGAATGGATCGAACGAGTTGAATAGTTTAAACAAATATACAAAACAATATATATATAATACCAAAATATGGATTTTTAATAGATATATGTGATTACAGATCAACGGACATACCACTAGGAATCAAAACAGTTTGAATAGTTCTATTAGTTGAAAAGACAGGCTACTTCTTTTTTGCTTATAAATACTCTTAATATTAGAGTTATTTTTTTTAACCTTATTATTCATAAATCAAGAAAAAAATGAATTATAAATCAATATAGACCTCATTACTTAGTTTAAAACTACTTAGTTTAAGAACTTGATTACTTTTAAAACAATTACTCTCGTATCAATAAGTTTAGAAGTATATATATTATTCTCATGTTTTTGTGTAATAATTGGCAATTCTTTGATTAATTTATCAACTTCCAAAAATTGCTGTTTGATCTCATTATCTCTTTCGTAATCACTATCTGCTTCTAAAAATTGGGTTAATTGCTCATAATCGCTATCGTAATCGCTGTCATTATCGTAATCACAGTCATTGGCGACTAGAATTTTTTGCCATTTTTTAAGTTTATAAAGAATCTCAACGGCTGTGGGTCTTTTTTTCATGTCATCATCAATACATTGATTGACTAATTCAACATAACATTTTGGAGAATCTATAACAAATTCAGGTCGCAATCCTCCATAACAAATCATTAGAGCTAATTTAGCATCAAAGTTGTAACCATCGAAAGGGCTTCGACCAGTTAATAATTCTAACATAATAATTCCAAAACTATAAATATCGGCAGCTTGAGTGAAACGTTCACCTTTCAAGACTTCAGGAGCTAAATAAGGTAAAACACTATAAATATGACCATCTTGTTTTTCATCAAACGATATTGATAAACCTAAATCTGTAATATAAGCTTTATATCCATCTTTTAGTAAAATATTACCAGAATGTAAATCTCGATGTATAAATTTTTTATAATGAATATGTTTTAGATCATAAACAATATCGCATAATATTTTTAGTTTCATTTTCCACTCCATTTTAAATATATCTTTAAGATTTTCTCGTAATGATCCAAATCTTGCGTATTTTATCACTAAAATAAAATCTCTGCTATTTTTATTCTTTGATATGCCATAGTATTCTCCAAATTCGTGATATGCCTTTAACTAAAATGTTGTCAATTTATATACAATCAATTCATAATCAATATATATTAACGTTAATATTATAAATAAAAAAAATACCTCTTTTAAAAAAAGTTCATTATTTTTATGTGAATCTTTTATTATTTTAATTGCAACTTCTTCGTATATTCCATATGATGTTTTATATGATGTTTTATACACTACGGAAAATCCACCTTTACCTATTTCTTCAATATTTTTAAATTTATCATATTTTATCCATCGGAAATATTTATGCTTAGAGCAATCATGTTCAGTAACAGCTGATTTTAAATACCATTCAAAAGCCAAATCTTTATTTTTTTCTACTCCAATTCCAAAATGATAACACTTTCCAACATGATGCATACCACAACCATTTCCATATCCGGCACTTTTTAAATAATATTCAAATGCCTTTTGTTCATCCTTGTAAACTCCAGTTCCATCTTCATAACAAAGTCCAACATTAAGTGTTCCTGTAGCGGACCCCATCTCTGCTGATTTTTGATAATAAATGAATCCCTTATATTTATCTATTTTAACTCCAATTCTATTAAAATAACAATGTCCAACATCATTTGTTCCACCAGCGTCCCCCATCTCTGCAGATTTTTGATAATAAATGAATGCCTTTTGTTCATCCTTTTCAACTCCAATTCCATAATAATAACAATCTCCAACATAATATGTTCCAATAGCGTCCCCCATTTCTGCAGATTTTTTATAATAAATGAATGCCTTATGTTTATTCTTTTCAACCCAATTGCCATTATGATAACAAATTGCAAGAATGAATTGAACCATAGAATCGAATTGATTATTTAAGCAATATTTGATAATATTGCTTTTTTTTACTAGAAATTGTTCCAAGGTGCCAAGAATTGAACTTCCGTATTTGCCTTTCAATCTTTTTTCATAAATCATATTATACATTTCTTTAATAACTTCATTAAGAAAATCCTGTGACTTATTTTCTAAATACATTTGATTAACTTCATTGGATATTCTAGTAACATCTAATCGATTAAATTTTTCTGGTTGTTTTGCAATTGACATTTTAACGCAATGAAAGAATATATTACACAACACGGATTTATTGAGGATATACAGAGAGGTACCATGAGTTACCGAACGATTTATTTGTGCAGCACAAGTAAATCGTTCGATAACCTATGATATCGCATTGCGTAACTTCATTTGTCTTGATGTTTATACTGAAGACTTCAACATACTGACGTAGATACATTTAAAACTAATATTTTTGGACTTTTAATAATTCAAATCCTTCCTTTTTTCCTATAAAGTCTTTTTAGCTTAAGTATTTCTTTCGGCATCAATTTCGTCCTAACTTCCAAAATTACACCAAGTCTATTGTGTCATTCACCTTTTTTGCCTCGACGATTTCATTATCTGTGTTTGAGTAACAAAGTGAAATGTATTGTAATGTATATAGCAGATAATAAAATTTATGTTCCAAAAATTGCTTTTTCAATAGAAAATTTGCCACTTAATTGCTTTGGTGATTCCAAACCCTTCCGTTTTAAATTATTATTTTTTCTATCATTCATTAATATGTGGTGAACGTTTAAAGCAAGGCGAAGTTTATCTGAGTTGTTCGTTCTCAAATTTTTGAGCCTGGACTATTAAAATTAATTTTATTTATTTTAACAAAAAATATTTAATAACTTTTAGAAGTTTTCCATTTTTTACAATCAATTCGGATGGAAACACGAAAAAAATTTGCGAATTCGTGTGACTCCTTTTTATTGTAAAAACAACAGTTTCAACAAATTAATAATTAGATATAGCAGGCACTGTAATAATATACCGTTACAAATTCTGAAATTATTGATAATATAATGTTTTTAATTATGCCGGTTGCTTAAAGATTTCGAATAAAATATAAACGTTATTGATTGAAAGTTATGGAATTGGAATTTTTCCGCATCCTTATCACGAAATCACAGGGTCACACCTTTTTGCAAACCGCCATAATTAAATTAAATTTTTCCAATTAATCAATCTTGGATTTCAATAATTTTTTTTTTTTATATAGATCTTGGTCTCTTTTCGCTCAGCCTTTTTTTAGCAATTGAGTGAATTTGGACATATAAAATTTATATGTCCATATGTCCAGGTTCAAATGAAATTTTTATTGAACATAATCCAAATGCAAATATTGCTAGGATAGCTTATTAATTCTGATTCAGTAACTTGATTATAACCGTTCCTAGGATTATGAGGGAAATTGTGAAGATTTTTTTTATACCTTTTGCCTTAGTGTTTAGAATAGATTCTCAAACTGAAGATTTATTATTGTGCTTTTGCAGAAAGATGTGACCTCCGCAGATCACAATGAGAATTGGAGATACCAGGAATGTAGTGTATGGTTTACAGCTAACTAAAAAGCAAAACCAATATCAAAGATAGTACAGCATTTTTAAAGTTGCAAATATCCATAAAAAATTTAGAAATTTTGACGTTTTGATTGGTTACAGACCAGTGTCTGTTCCAATACATACGTACGTAAGTTAAATCGGCCCGGCATAGAATCCTAACATGTAATCAAAACACTAATGCTTATATCATCTTTCTTTGGTACACTAATTAAAAATGTGGGGAACAATATTGCGGTACAGTAATACAGTAACAATTTATTCCTAACATTAATGCATGCTCGGTTACATTATTTTACTGCATTTATAAAATTCGTACTACAGTTCATAGTAAGACAAAAATTATATATTTAACTCAATATATCGATATGTATAATTTATTTAACATCGTATATAAAAACACTACAAGTCTATATTTTTTTTGTTATCTATAGAAATATAGTGTACTCTATAACAATGTTTATAATTTTCTTTGAATTATTTTTCCAATGCTTTTTTACAAGAGCATATAACTATATAAAATAAAGAATAAATATAAAAAAGAAAAAGAAAAAACAATCAAATTTACAGAAAAGAATAAATATTCTTAACAAATATAACTACAACGAATTTTCGTTTAGTCTACAAAAGATCTCATTTACAATTCAAAAATATCATCAAATATATAGAAAACCTAATACCATAAAAACCTAATTTTTTTTGTTAACAACTTAAAAAGAAACTTAAAAAAAAATTTTTTTTTTGTTTGTATAAATAATTTCAATTTCATTCTTTTTGATTTTCCTGTACAATAATCAGCTGTTTTAAATGAGGATCATCCTTCTTTTCAATTTCCTTTGTACCCATACCGAAACTAAAGAAACTAAATCGTTTTCCATTTCTAAAACCTGTCGATGTAGAATTTCTTCGTGATCGTTTAGACAAATCAACAAGTTGCACTGTTTCATTTTCCTTAGATCGTGTTTGTTCAGGCTCTTCAGCTATATTTTCTTGTATTACAGATTTGAGATTATTTTGAGGCTGGGAAGCACTTCGTATGTGAAAACTAGAAAAGGTTTTTCGCCTTTCCATCTTCTTTTTTGCGGGCTCCTGACTCAAATTAAATGAACCTGTAGTTGGTGAAGTGGGTGAAGAAACAGTCTTTTTTGCTGACCATTCATTAGATAAAATTTCTTCAAAGCCTTTAGCTTCCATGATACGATTGAGAATCCTTTCAATATAAAGGGACATTGCTTTGTTAGAATCTTTGAGTGCTTTAATTTCATCCTGCAATTCTACAAAGTCAAAAGAATAAAATAAAAATATTAGATCATGAAATTTTTAAAATAAATAAATGAAATAAAATACGTACTCTCAATAATAGTGTGGTCACTCTCTTTATGCACACGCTCGCCTTGAAGGAAATTATCAAGATCGGATGCACGTTTCATTTCAGCTTGTAAATCTAAGGCAATTGAATTTAAACCGGCTACAGCATTTTGAATTGATGCACCATCATCAACGTTTGTGCGATTTGTCTCTTTTACTGAAATTTTGGTGGTATCTTTTATATTTTTCTTTTTTTATATAAATAATTTTTTTTTTTTTTTGATAAATAAATAGTTATAATAAATTATTTAATTAATATTAATATTATAAATATTTGCGTATATTGGAAAATAAGAAAATAAGGACACATGATCTATTTACCTGCATGATAGGATTTAACATAAATTCACCTTTCATGGTTTTTTCATGTAACAATAGTTGATACCCTTCATTTTCTTCCATTAAAGTTTGATTCATATGTTTAACTTGACCAAGCTCATTTTCTAAATGATGAATCCTGGCAACATGATTCTTGTTTGTATTCATTGAATCGGTATGTGCTCTTTTAGCATTTTCAATTTCAGTTGTCAACTCATTAACACGTCTTTCAAGTTCTTTAATGGTTCGTTGAGCAGTCTTAGCCTCACGCAAAACAGAATAATGTGAAGGCGTAGAACCCGCAGTAGGAGTTAACGGAGGGCTATCTTCTATATATCATAAATAATCATAAATAATAAGGAATAAAAATAATAAAGAAAATAAAGAAAATGAAGAAGAGATTAATTTAATAAAAATTAATTTAAAATTCGACCCATCAATCATTATTTAAAATTCATAAAGATAAAAGAGATGAATTGGGATTATACCATCGTTAGAACTTGACTGACCATTTTTCTTTTGTGCTTCATTTTGTTGAGCGAGAACATTAATTGTTTCTTGGAGAGCTTTTACTTGACCAGTCAATTCGGATTCACGCGATTGCCACCCAGCCCGGTCTTTTTCAAAAGCTTGAGTCTGAAAAATAAATGTAATTATTAAATATTCAGCATTATATTATTTATATTATATTATTTATATATATATATTATCAAATTGTAAAATGCATACCTCCTCTCTTAATTTCCTTTCTACTTCTCGCTTATTTTTCAAAAAGCCAACATTTTCTTTTTTTAGTCTTTCTACTTCTTGTCCTTGCTGATAAAGCTCGGATTCAATTCTAGCGTATTCATTATGATGATTTGAAATTTCTTGTTGAAAAGAAGAATTCTTTTTGCGAAGAAAATTATTATCATTCGTTAATGTAGAATTTTCTTTGTTGGCACGTTCAAGTTGTTCACAAATCTATTTTAAATAAAAATTATATATATATATATATATAAATTAAAGTCGACAATAACAATTTCAAAATTTTTACTTGTCAAGTTTGAATCTCGGTCGAAACCGGAGTCAGCCAAAGCATTTTTATAAATACACTAGTTTTTATAAATAGTTTTACTGGCTTATTCAAGTCTCTTACAAGTTATTTATATAAAGTAATATAAATATTATTAAAATAAAAATAAAATAAAATAAACTTACCGAAGCATGAATATTTTGGAGGTTTTCTGCTTGTTGTCGTAACGTTGCTAATTCTCTTTCAGAAGAAGACATTTTTGAATCGAAGTTACGAATAAAATTATTGGTAACGTATCGTTTTTAGAATTTTAAAGTACGTAGATGGAGAATGAATCTTAATTTTAACGAAAAATTCGTTTTATATAATTTTGTATTAAAGTTGTTTCGAAATTTTGTTTCTTAAAAAGTTAAAAAATCATACAAGTTTAGAGAAATAAAATAAAGGTTGAAAGAATATAAAGTGTTGAAAGTCGTTTCTAAAAACTCGATTTACTAAGTTTGCATAACAGCCGAAAAACGGCAAAAGTATTTCGTGAAAATAATATAAGAAAAGAATTATAAAAGTAAAAGTTTCGTCTCAAAATCATAAAAATGGTTCGAACTGATACAGTAAATAAAGCTAAGACTGAAACTTCGGCTTTTGCAGTTAGCGTGCAGAAAAACCGTGCAAGACTATCAGATGGTTTTATTCGTTACTGCTTTATACAGATCGTTACAAGTAGTTTATTGGTGTTCTTAATAATATATACAATATATTTATTTGATTTGCCCTTTCGTCAAAGAAGGGTTAGAAAAGAAAACCCTCCCCTTTTTCGTAACAAAGAAGAGAAATCGAAAAGAATAAAAAAACAACGAACGATAGGAAGCACCTAAACTCGGTACTAAAATCAACAAAAATTGATAAAAATTTAAGGAACAAGTATTTATAAAATTGGTATTTTTGACAATAGGTTACCAAATAATAAAGAATAATAAATTGATTTGCAAAAATAAATTTTCTGTCGTGTTCAAGTTTGAGCATCGTTCAAGTTCCAATAAATGGAATATTTTCATCGTATCACTTCCTCGAAAAGTAGAATGCAATTTGTCCAACACCCAAAGAGGAATTACTGAAATATGTTTTTATCATGCAGAATTGAACGGTCTCCTCCGCATGCGAACACCATGCACTTTCCACGTAGCACATCGTGTATGCGTCCCTCCGTTTTTCAGCATATTTAGAAATAAATAATTTTCGATGAATTTATTGATTGGTTCAATGAAACTATCCACGTATCAGATATCAGCTTTGTGATCTATTACTATCAAACATTTATTTATTCTAAGCGAACAGACCGAGTACCCAGAATGGGTCCAGTATGTCAAATTTGTTATTGTTGAATGATTTGTAAATATTTGTTTTTTTTTTGTGTAAATAAATTATTTCATATATTTGACTGATATATTTCCGAATTTGACGTGCATTCAGATTACATATAATAATTGTCAAGACTTTTGGAATATCTCATCGTTTTTGGATTGAAAATATTTCATCATTGTAGTTCTTACCATTTCTCTTTTCTTTTAATACTTGTTATGGTAAATTTATTAAAATATTATTTACTAAGCATGTGCAAAATAATTTGTCCCTTCAAATTTCTTTCATCATTGTTTAAAAAAATAATGATATAAAAAAATATAAAAACTAATATATATATATATATATATATATATATTATTATTAAAAAAGAAATCTTTGTATTTTACGCTTGAATAACTCTAGCATTGCCGACGTTTTGCTGAAGATTCCTCTTCTTGTTTTTCATCACCTTCATTCACCATAGCTATCGGCCTTTTTGATTGGAATGACTGACCTGGTTCCCAGCCTTCACTTTTTAATTTTTCCAATTGATACTTCGTTTCTAAAGTAGTATGTCGAGCTCTGATATCTTCAAAGTTGGTGGGTATTTTAAAATCTTCTATTAAATCTAGAAATAATGTCGGATTCAAATATATATTATCTATTATGATAACAGATTGATTATTAGAATAAATATTTTCTTTAGATTATTAAATAAAGTTTTTATTTTTTTTACCAGCATTAATCTTATACATTGCTTTCAAAACATCTTTTACAGCATTTAATTCCAATAATCCAGGATTATTAAGCACCAGATTAAATGTGTAGATAATACGCATTTCCGATTTTTCTGTAATATGACGTTGAAATCGATCCACCAAAACATCACGCAAGTTTTCTCGGAGAATACATTGGATATATGTTTTATCCTGTCAAGCAAAGTAAGAACATTGCTTGATGACTGACCAGTGAATTATAACGCGTGTTTACAAAAGGTCAGTTTACAGATTTATCATATGCAAAAATATTCTAAATACCAGATACGCAAAAACACTCTCCAAAATTTCGGTGGCTTTTGCATGGTTGACACATATTTGTTGAAAATTGGTGAACCATGTGTTCAATTGCTTATCATTTTCTAATTGATTTCCAAGTATCTCCAAAGTTTTTTCGATTACTGAGGTCAAGTCAGAATAAAGTCGTTTTTGAAAACCTTGCCAACACATCCAATATATACTTCTGTTATAAATAAGGTATTTAGAGTGCTTTTGTTTGGTGAGGTGACGGAAAATAAAATATCTACTATTCAATGCAAACCTATAAAGTTCTTCATGAGAATAGGTATGCAAAGGTCTCTCTATCTGTAGACTCGCTTGTAGTGCATTCTGAACAAAACCCGAAATTTGAGGCCAAAACGTTGTCTCATATGTACCTTCGTTAACTTTAACTCAAGAAAATTTTATCGCAGAAAAATCGTAGCGTTTTTTCTTGTCAGCAGCACTGACACTTGTTTTGGAAAACTTTTGCGGAAACAAAGCTCTGAAATTCTTTCACTTTGTTCTCACCTGGGCTCATGCCAAAACTTTGTCCAATTTGAGTTGAAATTATTGTTTTACTTTGAGTTTGAGTTTCACTACTATCAGTCATAATTATGTCCATCGTAGTTCAAAACTGTTGTTGTAGCAAAGTCTCTTGGCTCTTGTGTACGCGAAAATGAAAATACAATACCGATACACAATTTATTTGTACATACGTACTTATAAACCGATGCACGTGATAAAATATCATTGTTAACTGTGTTTAGTATTACTGTATTAGTGGTGATGCGAACGGCTCAGCTCCGGGCCTACTAATAAAGTATCGTCTCTAAGGGAGCTGCGAGCCAATAGCGATAGGTTTATATCATATTACTATTAGCCAATAACACATTGACAATTTATTAATTGTTCGGATAAAGCTTTACCCGAGCATCTTTAAAACCTAACGTTTCAAGTATACAGAAAAATTATCCGAAATTTTCTGTAATTAGTTAGAAACTTTAACGTTTATACGTATTTTACTATACATTGCTGTTTTCTACTTAAAAACTGTCTCTAAATGAAGTATACTTACATAGAGTAGTACTTGAAGCTTCGTCTACTGTACATTATTATAAATGATGGTTATATTTGTAAAAAAAAAAAAAAATTTACTATATAAATTCAATTGCATAAAGTTGAGAAAGCCTATATCTTTCTTAAAACAGGGTTTGGCAATGGAACTCAATGGAACTTCGAATGGAGCCAATGGATACTAGTTTTTTTTTGAGCTCCATTCACGTAACCATAGAGCTCCATTGACTTCATTGCCAACCTTAGAGTAACGGCTCGGCTTGAGATTGGTCGGCTTGAGATTGGTCGGCTTGTAAACGGCTCAGCTCTGCGTGATGAGTTGAAAGATTGGCTCGGCTTGATAGTGTTAGCCGTGAGCCAAGAGCGTTAACTGCAGAACTGTACAATAATTAATCTATTAAATTCTACGTATTGTTGCACAAATTATTTATAAATCCCAAAATGGCCTCATAATTAAATAGTGAGACGTTTTTTTTTTTATGCAACCTTTCTGGATGTGTTCTTTTTTACAATAAAATATGTACGTTCATTATTGTTACTTTTCTAAGAATAAATTTTTTGATGAAATCGGCGTCTATTTATATCATTTTATCGTTTCTATTTTAATTTATTTTTGGATAAATGCTCAGGTTGTTTTAATGGTATTATTCCATATGCTCAAATTTTGCAAATTTCTTGTCGAAATTTCAAACGAGCAATTTTGAATTGCAATGTTTGAGTAACCGTGATACGTATAAATCTACTCATTTTCTTACTATATTTATCACTAACATAAATTATTATTACTACAGTACGAGACAAGATAAACATTCAGATTATATGTATAGAGTGTAGGGCTGGGGGAACGGAAAATTTGGGGCATGTCTAGAAGGACATCCTTTGATTCGAGGTATGTCCCTCATGTTGTGCCTGAGGATGCCCTTATATATAAAAATTTTCAAAAATATTTGCTCTATAGTTGTTGACCATACGTAACTACATATATACATAACTTATTAAGCAATTTGTTTGAGATCAAGAAATATTGAACGTTTTATGTGAATTGAATAACTTTTTATGTTAATATATATATTGTAAAATGTGGAAAATAAGTACTTCACCCTCTACCCTACTTTTTCAATTTCAGATTAGCGAAAATGGAGGTCGTCTAAAGCCATGTTGTTTTTAAACTGATTACTACCAAAATTTGTAAACTAATAATCACGTGATGCGCATAAATTGCTACGTACGTACTGACTTAGCCCGAAAATAGCCATGCTTATTTTTATATTTAATAGATATAAATATATTTATATACAGTAAAAAATTTAAAACTATCTATAAAACATAAATACAATATATGCTATATATAATAATAATATATATGGGGCCTTTGCCTTGAAAATCGCGTTATGGAACATATACGTAGTATATAGTAAATTATATGTTATAATGTGATTTTCAAGGCAAAGACCCCATATCGATAAATGATAAAAAGTTATGATTTATAAATATAAGATTTTTAAAATAGTTGTATATATAATAAGTATTTAAATTATTTTGTTTAATAACACAAAGATAAATTAAGAATTTTGATATTGGTTAGGTTTTAAACCTTTTTATAATTGTATAGTATTTAATTATTTATACCGCATTACCGCGCAGAGGTGAAATTATGAATTTCGGCCCGAATTAAGCTTAATTCGGGCCGAACCTCGAAATAACGCTCATGAGCGTTATTAC